TGATAACCTTCTTTTCCTCCAGATGCTTGAACATGACGCCCAGCACAAGCTGTTCCATCATCTTTCCAGGGATGGAGGTGAGGCTGACTGGCCTGCAGTTGCCTGGGTCTTCCTTCTTGTCCTTTTTGAAGACTGGAGTGACACTGGCTTTCCTCCAGTCCTCAGGCACCTGTTCTCCAGGACCTTTCAAAGATGATGGAGATTGGCCCAGCAATGACTTCTGCCACCTCCCTCAGCACACGTGGGTGCATCCCATCAGGACTCATGGACTTGTGGGTAACCAGTTTACTTAATTGATCTCTAACTTGTTCCTCTTCAACCAAGGGAAAATCTTCCTTCCTCCAGACTTTCTCTGTTACCTGCAAAGTCTGGGACTCCCGAGGGCTGGCCCGAGCAGTAAAGACAGAAGCAAAGAAGGCATTCGGCAACTCTCTGCATCATCTGTCACCACGGCACCTGTCTCATTCAACAGCGGGCCCACATTTTCCCTAGTTTTTCTTTTGCCTCCTATGTACTTGAAGAAACCCTTCCTGTTGACCTTGACATCCCTTGACAGATTTAATTCCAAGGTAGCCTTGGCTTTCTTTGTTTCATCCCTGCATACTCTGATGGCATTCTTGTACTTTTCCCAAGGGGTCAGTCCCTTCTTCCACATACTGTAAACTTCCTTCTTCCACTTGAGCTTTTTCAGAAGCTCCCTGCTCAACCATGCAGCTCTCCTGCTTCCGTTGCCCGATTTCTTTCTCTTAGGGATACACCGATCCTGAGCTTGGAGGAAGTGATACTTAAGTATCAACCAGCTCTCTTGAGCCCCCCTACCCTCTAGAGCCCTAACTCATGGGATTTCTCCAAGCAATTCCTTGAAGAGATCAAAGTTAGCCCTCCTGAAGTCCAAGACTGCAATCCTACTTGTCCTTTTGTGCATACTGCACTTAATCCTGAACTCTACCTTTCATGATCACTACAGCCAAGGCTGCCCCCAACCTTAATGTCCTCCACACACCCCTCTTTGTTTGTCAGTACTAGGTCCAGTAGTACACCTCTCCTTGTTGGCTCCTCGACCACCTGAGGGTATGGCAGTTGAAATCATCAGGACACTAAAACAACTCACTTTCAGATTATGTTTTTATATACCTTTAAAACAATATTTCCAGGGTGTTCTTTTTCTTATTATTTTATATTAAAAATAATTCTTAACTGACATAAGAATCTCAAGGAAGATCTAAGCAGCTGATTATACTGATGAAACATTGAAATTGGTTATACACAAAATGCTGTCAAATTACCTAAATAAACCAACCAAATTTAAGAAAAAATACTTTCAGAAGTGTATTTTTCAAATTTACTGTGTTTTTTCTGTTAATTAAAGTACACTGTTCTTATACTACCTATAATCTCTGATATCACCATGTATAGTCCACTAGAATATGAAATCATAAAATGTATAAATTAGAAATGTCACAATAGTACTTGTTTTCATATTACAAATATATTAGGAAACATGACTTCCTTTCTTATTCATACCTTTTTTTCTAAAGACATAAAAAGCCGCATACTGAAAACTCCGAGCGATTTTCCACCTTCAGGTTCAGGAGACATATCAGGATGAAACTTTGTTTTTCAACAGATTTCTCTATTGCATCCAAAAAAATTAGAGAAAACATTGTAATAATAGTTTGAACGGTGTCATTTTAGCTTTAAAAGTGTGACAGGAACAATTACACACACCTGTCTTATCTGCAGGAATAGAAAAAAATAAATGTAGAAAACAACACCTCCAGAGAGCTTCATCAAAGAAATTGCAGGCAGAAACCAGTCCTGCAATCACTTTTAGCCCTGCCTTGACGGATGACGTGTGATTCCAGTCCCAGCGGTGACATTTCTTAACTGCGTAGACCTTGAAAACAAGTGTTAGAACTGCTGTGATTCAAGTGTTCATCTATGAAATGACTCTTTTCCTAGAACACCTTCGTGCTCGTGCTGCTGCTTTGCAGATTGCTTAAAAATGCCCTGCCTGGATGGATCATGATGTTTACTATGCATCATGCCTTGCGCTATCCTCATTCTAAGAGAAATGCTACCTTACATGTTAAAGGCTAAGCTGCAGTGTTAAGATGAAATAAAGTATCTTCTTGTTTGAAAGATGCTACCAGTTCTGCACAAACACAGAGGAAACTGTCAAAACACAATCCAGGTGCCAGAGTAAAGCTACAAAACAGTTACTAAAATCCTTTAAAAAGCAGCAAAGACATGATTCATGAGACAGTTGAAAAATTTTACTTACATAAGCGCAAGGTAGAGACTTGAATATGCTTTTACATTTACAAGACGTTTGTATTTAGCAAATAAAATTAATTTCCATTTCCTCATCATTCAACTAATTCCACCCCACATTATGACATCAGTTATTTTACCCTTTTGTTAGGAAAGGATCTGACCCATAAGGGCTTTGTCTACTTTAGGGAAATTATTCCCTCTCAGTCGTACTGATCAACTTTCTCACACAAACTCACAGATCTTGTATTATGGTCCATTTCAGGTACATTTCAAGTCCAAGTTCTGAAAAACAAACAACTAAATGAGAAAACCCCTCAAACTAGTAACAAACTCTTGTTGCTCAGTTCTAAAGAGAAACCTGTTTTTGCGGGATCTGTTTTTGCAGGATTGGGGTTTAGTAGGATTCTGCCTCTACTTACCCTTTAATTGGATATGTATCTCATTTCTGTCACTTCATTACGGATGAAAGCATATTTGCCAGTGAGATTCAATATAAACCATTTTTACGATTGTTCAATATTTAATCTCCGTGCAATTGACATCTAATTGTTGTTGCCATTTAATTGCATGAATTTCTAAAGATCCCTTTTGTTAAGGAGCTTGCAGGATGGGGCAGTGACATTCAGACCATGCGCCCCATGCACTCTCCCTTCAAGACCCCAAGGTTGTCACTGGGGAGAAGGTGATTCCTAACCTCGGTGTTCTGAGTAACCGTGCTGTCAGAAAGCTCGCTTCTGCTGTTTGTGCATAGAGCTTATACAGGGGCCTCACTTCAGACAGCGCAAAAAATACCAAATGCCCGTAATGTGCCTGTTCTGCTGGACCTATATGTAGTTTTAGACAAATGTAAAAAAAAAAAAATACAACCCCCAAACTGATGAATTACATTATATGCATATTTGTACACATTCAATTTTCTGACTAAATAAATTCTGTTAGTTGCATCTGCTGTGTCATGTTGCAAATGAAGAGCGGAACTACCAGAGAAAGACATCTTTTGCCTGTCAGATGCTCCCTTCAGCCTGTGTGGGGTACTTGTGAAGCACTGGTCATGGTTTTTTCCAACATACCCTGGACATTCTGGAGAAGAAGGAAAAGTTTCAGGGGCCCTTTGGGCATGCAGTTCTCTCAGAGCAGGAGGGGAAGTTCATTATATGGAAAACATATTAATCTCTCCTCTGCTCTCACCAGATCACAGAATCACGTAATTTTCAGAGTTGGAAGGGACCTCTAGAGATCATCTAGTCCAACTCCCCTGCTAAAGCAGGATTGCCCAGAGCACATTACTCAGGACTGCATCCAGGCGGGTCTCGAAAATCTCCAGAGAAGGGGACTCTACAACCTCCCTGGGCCACCTATGCCAGTGCTCTGTCACCCTAACTGTAAAGAAGTTTTTCCGTGTGTTGGAACAGAACTCCCTATGTTCCATCTTGTGCCCATTGCCCCTCGTCCTGTCACTGGGAACCACTGAAAAGAGTCTGGCTCCATCCTCCTTCAACCCACCCTTGAGATACTTGCATGCCATAATAAGGTCTCCCCTCAGCCTTCTCTTCTCCAGGCTAAAGAGTCCCAGCTCTCTCAGCCTTTCCTCACAAGGGAGATGCTCCAATCCCTCAATCGTCTTGGTTGCCCTACGCTGGACTCTCTCCAGCAGTTCCCTGTCTCTCTTGAACTGGGGAGCCCAGAACTGGACACAGTATTCCAGTTGTGGCCTTACCAGTGCAGAGTAGAGGGGGAGATATTCCAGTCCCAGTCCTCTTTGGCACTCTCAGCATTATTGCACATTAAATCTTTCATGTATTTATTTATGGGGTTCCTCCTCAGACCTGTATTGCACTCTGCTGCGGGGGGGGATGAAGACAGTGTTAGGTATTCATTTGGCAGGCAGCCCGACAGACAGCGTGATGGAACTCTGTGGTAGTCAGGAGCACACAGTTTTGGCAGAGGAGCACTGTGGGCAGATTGCAGTTTGGAGCCTGGGTTGAAGGGGCTCATCTCTAGGTCTGAAGTCACGGTGACCTCCTGATGATGCTCGCCTTTGAAACATCCTTTGGGTTTTCCCATTGTAAAAGACGACTTGTAAACTACCCGAAACGAAGATTGAGAGAAGCAGCCTGAGGAGAGGTAAGGAGAGGGGGCAGGCCTTCTGAGCCTCCCTGAGGAGCATCTCAAACCCTCGCAAGTACCTTGAAATATAGCTATAATCGCAAGGTGGATAATGCGGAGTCAGGATAATGTAGGCCTCGTGCTCAGAGAACTGATAAGGCTAACACTTGCTTATCGCTTGTGTGACTCAGGCAAGAAAACTCATCTGAGTAACACAGGGTGCATCTGGGGGGGACAGTCTTGTGAAGACAGGACTTTCTCCTCAACTTGTGAAGCTTGTTAGTTCTCTGTTTTCAGGGCCATCATGTCCAATGTATGACCTTTGCCCCATTATCTGCAAAATGCATATTAAAGTTGCTATAAACAAGAGACCCCCGTTGGCTGGACCAATGCTTGAACCAGGACTGGTGAGCTCTTTATCACTCTCTCTCTCTCTCTCTCCCGCTCCCTCTGTTTCTCTTCCCCCTTAGAATTGTGAAGTAATGCAAGGTGTACCTTACAGCTTGCCATAATTTATTTTACCACTTGCCATAATTTGTTATATACCTAACCAATTATCGTGGACCTAGTTAAAACATGTATTAATCACTGTGGGAATGTAATAAATGTTTTTGTATGGACCTTGATTTTCCCCCCCGCCCCCCCCCCTCTTTTCTGAGTGGGGTGCGACACCCGTGGATAAGTTGTGTTCAGCAGAAGGCACCTGTCTTGTCTCCTGAGTTATTGCCATGGGGAGAAGCGTCAAGTCCCCAAACACAGAGAGGCTGGCGGAGGGCAGGGGGAATGTCTCCCTTCTCTCCTACAGGAGAGGACACCACGTATGGCCCAATCCCTGGGTGCCAGTGTTACCTGTAAAAGAGGTCTAAGTCCCGATTCTCCCGAAACACGGAGACTATGTTTAGAGAGGAGACATTGCTTTATTCTGGCCAGGGTGCACAGTGGAATGTTTCCACAAATCATGCTGGTTTTCTCCTCATAGTTATACATGAGAGTTACAAGGTAGCACACTCCCAGTTACAATGATTGGTTAGTAATTAACATATGATTGCAATATTTCTTATGTCATTCTCCTCAGTTACTGTGCTTGTGCAAGGAAAGGGTCTCCACCTGGGCAAGGGTCTTCTTGGCCTACAGGCATGATTTTTAGTATTACAATGAAGGTAGTTCAGCTTGGGATACCCAGAATTTTCACTTTTCTGCCAAGTTGGCTAGGCCTTTCAAAACATGGTAGATCAGTGGCATCCTCAAGGTTCATATGCTCGTCTGCTCCAGGATGTTTTACTTCAAAGAAAGACAATACTTGCTTTCCTTGATTAGGTGTTCTTTCTGATATGACCCAAGGATAGAATCCTCGTTATCCATGTAAACGCCTCAGAAAGTTCATCTACTAATTAGCCCAGATACTTGTGAAGAAATATTCCCAAGGCCAACCACCTAGCCAAGTCCATAACAAAATGGTTAACATGCCTAACTAACTTTGATGCTAACAACTTTAATGCTAATGAAAATGGCTAAAATTCTTAACTGCAAGACACCACCAGGAGAAAGGACCACGACACCCGTGGGCTGCCCCGTACAGCATGGGACAGGCCTCCAGAGGCCCTCAGGCCCCAAAGCAGTGGGTGTTTTCATGGAACCTGGCACACACGTGGACGTTTACGTAGTGGAGAGCGGTTTGGTGACGTTAAGGACGCGGTTAGGTTTTGCACAGATAGGTACTACTGTCGGGTAACAGCCCACGCCTGAGGTACCACCACAGTATCAGTCACACTGCGGCGACAGCC